GAATATCTCAAAATAACAGAGTCTTCACTAGTACCATGCAGACGCACACCTACCTGGAATAATCCTGATATTTTGCAAAATAACCAAATGATGAACCTTCCGGACTGGAAAAATAAGGAGATCCTATACCTGGAACACATATATGAAGGATTGGACTTCATCCCATTTAATCGAATAGTCTCCCAATTTGGAATGGATAAGAATAGCTTTTTAGAATATCACCAAATTAAATCTGTAGTCAAACAAAAATTTAAGCTCAATAAAATAGAATTACAAACACCACCAAGGGTATTTGACTTCTATAATCTCAACCCCCCCAAACTACTGTCTCAAGTTAATAAGACACTGTCCAAAATAGACGATAAAATTGCAATCCCTATTGAAAAATGGGAGGTGAATCTATCAGTCAGCTTTGACCAGAACTTCAGGTCCCAAACTTGTTTAAAAACTTTTTAAATGATCAGACACCCCAATTTACAATTAATTCAGTACAAAATTCTACACAGAGTACACTATACAGGTCAAGATGGGGTTTGTGTCATCTGACACATGTACACACTGCACAAACAACATTCCTGACAATTACATTCACGCACTGTGGTCCTGTCCACCTGTCCAGGAATTTTGGGGTAGAGTATGTGAGGATCTGTCAAAATGTCTGAAATGTCTTATCCCAACTTCCCCCTCTCTTTGTTTACTGGGAAACCTGGACGATGTCCCGATTGAAACATCTTTGGTTCACGTGGTTCTGACTGCCAAATGCATCGCTAAGAAAACTATCCTCTTGAATTGGAAAAATAGAGAAACTCTGCATTAACCAGTATAGAAATCTTTTGTTAGATCATATTACACTTGATTTAGCCTCTGCTTCCACTTCAAATCAATCTCTCTGAGCTCCTTTGATCAGTTCCATCACATAGCGATGATGGGGGACCATTGATATTGTCCTGCGGGATGATGTGGGTGGAGGGGTGGAGGGTCTGAGTTTGGAGTATCCGGATGTTCCCTGGAGGTGGGTTCTCTGGGGTTGTCTGGGACTGGGGGGGCGTTGCCCCCCTCTGGAGGTGCTTGGGTTGCCTCGGGGGGTGGACTGCTGGCAGTTGTGAGTGGGGCCCCTTGGAGGTCTTGGCGGCGGCCATGGGTCACTGCCTGGCAGCTGCATTGCCCCTGGGCGGGTCTGGGTGGGGGCCTGGGGGCTCGGGGTGTGGGGGGTAGCCGGCCCCGTGTGGGGATCTGGGCGGGCCCTTGGGGGTTGGGTCCTGACATGTATGCTGCCAGGAAGAAGGCAGGAACATGCAGCAGTACCTGGCCTGAGTTCAGGGGCCTCAGGTAGACCTTAAATCCTCTGCTGTCCCATCACAGGGGAGGGGGAGGTCCAGGAGGGGGAGGACCCAACCTTACCTGGATGTCCTATGTCTTATATATTCTGGAAGTTGTGCAAATGCAGGGATGGGCATAGATATTCTGCTGGGGTGGGGCTGGGTTGGTGGCCTCGGACTCTGTGAGGCTCTGCAATGCTGCTACTTTGGGCCCTGGCAGGATGGGCAGGGGTCTCCATGCCCCGGGTGGCAATTTGACAACAGAGGTGCCCATTGGGACTAGTTGGGGAGCTGGCTCCCTGGAGGGCTAACCCAACCAGCCATTCCTCCCCATCCCCGCATATGTTTCTCCTCCTGCTCCCTCACATCATCACACAAACATGCACATACAGTAGGACTTTGTGGGTTGGACAAGTCAGGGAGTGCGGGTTGGACCCCATTTCCGCATTCCTGTGGCAACCTGCCCTCCCAATTTTATTTGCACCTTATACACTTCCACTGGCGACATTCCACGCAAACACACACTTAGGGCCTTGGGAGTGAGCACATTCAATGGCACTTGGCAGGGGGATTTCTCAGCCTCCTCCCGAGTGCCGGTGCCCACTTCCAATTTTAAACTGCACGTAGACACCAAGGGTTGTGGGTGCAAGTGGGGTGGTGCAGTGGCATCAGCTGGCATAGGCCAGACAATGCTCGCACTGCCCGCTCACCACAGCCATGGAATACACCTCATCAACACACAACACTATATTGGAGCAGGTGGAGGGAGACTAGGGGTCTTAGCACACCTCTGTCATTGCTTGGCTTCCTGGGGCTGGAGGCTATGAGGGAGGTCTGGTTGGGGTCTGGGGTGGTGGGTTGCTGTGCTCAACATTGGGCGGGGGAGCCTGCTCATCAGCACCCCAGCAGAAAGGGTCAAACTCTGGTAACCGGTAATGGTTGTACCCAATGTGCAGCAGTAGCTGGACCAGAGTGAATAGGGTGTGTATGGGGAGCATGAGTGGGTGTCCGGCATGCATTTTTGTAAGTCTTTGGTTGTATGTGCATGTGTGAGCATGAGGGAGGGAGTGTGTGAGTGTGTTTGTGTATGACTGTATATGTCAGGTGGGGCCTTTGACTCCTCTCTTCTTCTGGGACTTCTTTTGATGATATAGATCTTCGTCTCCCCTCCCCTTGCCACACCTGGTGTGGAGTGTGGTGCCGTGGTCTGCCTGAGTGTTCATGGCTCTCGGGTCAGGGGGTTTAAGATTTTTGGTGTCTGCCTGATCAATCCCGGTGGCGGCCTGGTGGGGTCTGGGTCCATGGGCTCTGCTGGGTCCCCGGTGGGGGTGGTCGCCCCGGGTCCCAAGTTGCTGGGTCCCGGGCTCGGCCGGCTAGGGGGTGGGAGGCTGCAGGTGAGCCTGTGGGCTTGCTGCTGATATCTCCCGGGACTCTGCCGGCTGTTGGTTGTGGCCCCCCAGGGCGTTCCTCTGTGCCTCTCGAGGGGGTGCGGGGGTGTTTGTGGTTGCAGTCTCCTTGTGGTTCCTGTGTTTGTGGGGCAGCGCCTGGATCTCTGGGACTTGGAGCTCCCCCCGTCTCCTACACATCTTTGGGGGACAGATCTGTGGTCCCTCGCACTCTCTATTGGATGCTTTTATAGAGAAATCTTACATAAACAAGCGCGTGTACACACACAGGTGCTCACATGGTACTCTCAAAAGTATGGGCTTGGGCACGTTCAACACATGTCTTAAGGCTGTCGTTGCCACTAAATGCACTATGATTTATTTTCGTGTGATTGTTCAGTTAAACAATGTTGATTTTATATTTCATCATCAGGTTGACACAGTGATAGCTTGCTCCTGATGTATTATTGTTGTGTCCCATTTTTTCTATTCTTTCTCTTTCTGCAGGTCTAGAAGCAGACTCTTGTTCATTATTGTTTATTTTTGGGACCCCCCCCCCCCCTTCCCCCCTCTCTCCCCACCTTTTGTCTTTTCCTTTCTCTTTCACCTCTGACTCCGTGTCTGGTCGGAATTACAAAGCATTCAAAAACAATAACAATAAAGTTTTAAGTATCAGGCATGACATTAAAAGCAGACGCTTTGATGCTCCACCTGAGAGTAAATCTGTAAGGCTTGTTACCAGCATTCAGACATCAATTCTGTTTGCTTCACAGGACACCGTTAAAAAAATAAATAAAATAAAAAATAAAATAAAAAAGAGAATCTGTGGAATATTGTGAAGAGAAAGTTGAGAGACGCAATACCCAACACTCTGGATGAGCTTAAGGATGAGGACAAACCCTCTCAAACAAAAACCTACGCTACTGGGGATTTGCCAAAAAAAAAAACCCAAACATCATTAAAAAATGCAAATGTCCCTCTGAGTGTGTAGTTTTAAACAGTACGTCACTCTAGGATATACAGTTTTTTGATGCTTTCAACATTTAAGTTTCTATTTCCTGAGAAATATCAGTGATGTGACATTCTGCCCAACTCTCCACCTACACATCTTCCTGTAAGCTCACCTGGTCCTTCCTGAGAAAGGTAAGCATGACCCAATTGTGCTACCGATCCTCGCAAACACACATGTGTGTGTATGTGTGTGGTGACCCATCCTTGTTTACTGTAAGTGGAAGTCTTTGTCATGCCTGTGTACTCAGTCTTTTATACTTTAATCCGCATATTTGCCAGAAACCTGATGCAAACCTGTCCATTGTATCACACACACACACACACACACACACACACACACACACACACACACACACACACACACACACACACACACACACACACACACACACACACACACACACACACACACACACACACATTTACACTAATATGCTTCTTCAAGTTAAAGAGGACTGCAGGTTTAGCAACAACCCTCCTGATTCTGTACCAGCAGATCAGGAAAGAGTGGCTATCCTGAAATTCAACATGCAACAACAATTCTGCACCTACGGTTCTGGAACAGCAGCCAAGTCAAGCAAACCTTTCCGTGACGATGACTTAAGGAATATTGTGATTCACAATAACACGGAACAATGTGAACACACTTCTGGCATGGTCACATGATCTATAGACAACGACTGTGTGGCTTGCCCGACCACAGTGATAGCTTTCAGAGAGACGGAGATAACAAATGGTACTTCCAAGCAGCCGCCCGACGAGGCCTGAGGGTGTGGGTGAGGTTTGTTCTCTGCTAGGGCAGCTGTAGGTATGTCACCTGACTTCACACTCACGGCATGAAATGTTTCCTCATCGCTATACTTATTCCTTGGAGAACGCACCGTCTCAGCCACACACACACACACACACACACACACACACACACACACACACACACACACACACACACACACACACACACACACACACACACACACACACACACACACACACAGGGGCAGGAACAAGCTTTGGTATTAAGGTCAACTGCCAGAGGAAGAAACTCGTAAGGTGGAAAGAAGAGTTATAGTGAAGCTGCAAATATGTCAGAGTCAAACAGGTTCATGTGGGATTTGCTGCCTTGACAAATACTCTGACATGTTTCAAAGATAATCCTAAAATCTGGCAGGATTGGTAATCAAAGGAATGATTTTATGTAGACAACAGCATTAAATACAAATAAATATTTTTGAACCTTAAAAATCTGGACCAAATCTCAAAAATAAAGTTAAACACAAAAGTCCACTGACATGTTTACCATGTGAATGGTCACTGATGGTGTTTATTTCATGTTATTAGGTGAAAGACATTATTTATTCATCAAACCAGTCAACTTTGGTCAATTAGCAACTTTAACATTTTGAGAAAAGCACATTGGACAATGACAACAAAAAGCTTTTATGGTCTGTACGAAATAAATAGCAACTTTGCTCATTTACAGCTTGGCTGAAGGAGAAAAAAAAGGTTAATCTTCATATTAAAAATGTTATACAGATGAGCTGTGATGCTCAATAACTCACTAACTGTTCAACAAACAAAACAAAACAAAACAAAAAAAGCTCTCCTTTTTAAATAAAGCTTTTCACTTTTAATATGTACCTTCAAGAGCCTGTTATAGTTAAATAAATAGAATGCTTTCCGTTTTTAACATGCACATCCAATTAGCCTGGGGAAATTATGTACAGTTCACTGATCCTACTCATCCACCTACTTTTATTTTCTCCTAAAAGCAGTTCTTCCTCATCACAAACGCTCACACACAAATGTACAGTCACTCTTGCAGACATGCTGCATCTATTTACTATTAACACAATATCTAAATCTATGGCAAGTGATCGAAAATGCTATCGCTGATCATGGCAGTCCATGTAGTGTGAAGAAGAAACAGTCCAAACACCACATTGTAATCGGGGTGGGTGAAGGGGGCGGGGCTTACAAAAGTATTAGTTTACAATTGATCATGCACTGTATAAACTCACTGTGTTATTTGGTTTGAGAGTGTAATCAGTGGCTTCTAGATACTTGTTTACGTAAACAAAGAAGAGAATAAGCGATCCTACCAATTAATCTCTAACCATACTTAAGTCTCCCGTCGATTCTTCTCTCCTACAAGTGGTTCGACTATCTTTCAGTAAACTTCCACTCACAACCATGAGCTTCTGCAAAGAAAGGTGTGTGTGTGTGTGTGTGTGTGTGTGTGTGTGTGTGTGTTTCTTCTGCTGTGTCCGTCGTAGTGTAGAAACTCCATCGTGCCCTGGGCCAAGATGGGATGTTTATTTCTGCGTTGGTGCGTTCGAGTCCCGCTCTTTTCACGATGCAAAGTAAGAGTTCTGCATGGAGTAGAGGCGGTCGATAGGGTTCCCCACGCGGGCCTGCATGGAGCTGACTTCCGATGATGCCATGAAGCAGTCGCTGAGGCTGGTTAAGGACGTGTCACTGTCTATATCATGGAACGCTGAGTCATTACCTGGAAAGGGAGTGCGTGAGGAGAGGAGTCATTTAAAGGAATAATAAAAATAACATGCTGGCTAGTATGGCTACCAATCACTGCAGTCTTGTGTTAGGGATTTACAGCAGGGCTGGAAAATGATGATTACTAATAGTCACTTGGAGAAACTGCTGTATTGTGTCATCACAATTGTGAGAACAGTTTTGTTGGATATCATCAAAGCTCACTTTTTGCTGCCCTCGCTGGGACAATTGCAGACAGCGAGGGAGCATGTAAACAAGGGGCCTCCTCCTGGAAGATCTGGTTAATAGCAACTGTTTACGCCTTTCATAAAACCTCAATGTGTTATTTCTCTGGGGGGAATAGTTAACTTTATTACACTCTGGATCTTAATGATAGTGTTGCACAAAATGGGGACAGTGTTTTGAGAGATATATTTTAATGCCTTGCCAATATTGTTCTGTTCCCCAAACCAAAGGAGAGTGATGAGACGGGGGATTTGGTTTCTTACTACTGAGAAGAACTAAATGGAAGCAAATTATAAGGAAGTTATGAACTTCAGGAAATGGTCCCGCTGGGACATGTTGAGGACATCGCTCAGAAATGTGTTATTCCTTTTACATCCTGTGAACTTACTCTTGATTGACTGATATTTCCCCCCCCTCCTTCCATCTTTCTTTGTATTTTATTTCCTTCTTGTGTCAAACAGAAATCAGAGTCTTGATCTACTAGCTCACACACGGACCACATGCTTCGACCACCATTAGGAAACATCATCAGTAACATGGCATGTCTTAGAAGTGGAGGCGAGGAGTGGAAACCATATTAAACATTTGGAATGGCACATCAAACCCCAAGAGTTTATGAGGACACTTGTGTTATCTCATGTGGGAGGAGAAGCTGCTCGTTCCACTCGGGGAGCATCTTAAATCAGGGAGCTGCAGCCGGAGCGCACGTCCCATGATGAGGAGCTATGGGGTTGATCAAGGGACACAGGCATGTAGATGTTTTGTGTGTGAGTGCTCACCATATGGGTTCATATGGTCCCCCGGCATCTGTGGGGGTGTGAGCCCCTGCTGGAACGGGTCTGTGCTGTAACCGTTCTGATCCATGGCGACCAGCTGCTGCTGTGGCGGAGCCAGCGGTGTGAAAGAGTTCATCATCCCCTCCATCCGATTAGACATCACCTCTGGAAAGGCCATAAGAGCACATGGAGGAACTATTACAGAAAATGTACTTCAAATGATGAGGGGGAAACAACGTGATCAGCTTTAAGAGGGGGTGTGCTTGTGAGAAAGCTCCAACAACCTTCAAATACCTGGATCACATGCCTGTGTCTCCATGGTAACCTATAGTGGTTCTCCCTGCAGCCTCTCCCTCGATTCCCTTTGCAAACACTCCTGTTGGTTAGCAAAGCTCCTGCAGCTTCCTCATCAGAAACCATCCCCCCTTCCCTTTCCAGCGGTTTCACTAAATTATGTCTGTAGATTGTTGTTGTTGTTTTTGTCCAAATTCCACCTTCTCTTGTTTTCTCATTGACATATTTAGTATTTATTATAATTAGTGGACACAAATGTGATCAAAAAGTAGAGGTACACATCTCTGGTCTGATTAAACCTAGCCTAGAATTGAGAACGTCATTTGTTGAAGCAAAATTGACGTTCTAGCAACGCTCCATTGCAACCTCACAGCTCCGGTCAGCACTGTGGCTAGCCGATCACAGTGCATTTATTAGAAAAACTATGTATTATTTAATGCTTTTTAACATTTTGAGCAGTTCTTCCACAATGTAATGGCAAACTGCCCTGTTGACTGACATCCATAGCAGTGAGTATGTCACGTTGTTTGTTATCCAATGGCATGCAGAGACAACCGTAGATCCCGCCTCATGACTGAGAGCCATCAGTGGACCGTGGCCGGGCTACATATCCTCATATATAGGATTGCTTGCCAGGCTGGATTAAACCATTTTAAGACAAGGAACTTGACAGCTTTTCTGGCCCACTAAAAACACATTAAAACCTGTTTTAAAGTCCACAAACCAAGAAACATTTCTATTTTTCCAGGTCTGTCTGAGACAACAACCGCTCAGCGCTGGGCAGGTCGTACCTTGGCCGAGCCTTTGGGAATTCTGTTGTTCTTGTTGTTGCTGCTGTCTTCTCGCCAACTTCTTCATCTGAAACGAAGGAGTCAAAGTTGTGAAAAACTCCCAAAACTAACATGCGCTCTTTAATTTAAAAAGGATGCGCCTCGCCATTCACCCTTGAGTGAACCACATGAAATCTCCGTCTGAGTGCACTTCGTTGTCAAGTATCAAAGGTTTTTGGGAGATAATCATCAGAAAAAGAGGAGGGCGTACACATTTAATGTGAGATTAAGCTAGATTTGCAGCTCCTCGCTTGGTTCTGTGCATTTCTGAGAGGAATGTAGTGATAAATTTAACACACCAGAATTTATTGGCTGGACTCTGAAATGGAACAAAGCTGTTTCTTTTCTGAGGACACATGTAGGATTCTGCTTTTACCTTGGCTCTCTGGTTCTGAAACCACACCTGGACCACTCGAACACTGAGTCCTGTCTCTGCAGCCAGTGTTTCCCTCACCTGAAGACATAAAAAATACTTTCAGTATCACAATATAAAAACATCCATTGTACCTGAAACTCTTTGATATATGTCCCACGTTCTGTAACAGTCTGACTGCCTCTGATTTGTTTTCTATGTGAGCTTGGTCGGTGAGGCGCTCTTCTGGATCTCCTTTTGGTTATTGCTTTTCAAAGCCCTGGCTGTGCAGGCAGGTCTCCTGTCTCAGTGTGACATTCGTTGCAGACGGACTCTGTTACAGCAGCCTGCCTCAGTTAACATAGAACAGAATGCTGCACGACACTTCAAAGCTCCGCTCGGAGGTGGGGGGACATTTTTTTTAATTTGAGGCTTTTATTTGTCAAACTACCGTAAGGCTGGTGGTCAGGCTCTAAATCCCTGTTACCCCAAACAAAAGAACAAATGTAAAAACAAGAGCTTATTCTGCTGCAGCTGATTATACGAGCGTTGTCTTACCTTCCTGCATGGCTTCGAGGACACCTCAAAGGAGGCCTTGAAGGCCCGTCTCTGCTGAGTGGTCAGAATGGTTCGCGGCCTCTTGGGTCTCCGTGGATCCTTCCCATCGTCCCCCTTCCCTTGGCTTCCAATACCTTTCTCTGGTTTGATGTCCAGCTCTTCATCATCGCTTTTCTCTGGAGAAGGAGACATTTCTTTGGCACCAGACTTCTGATAAACATCTTTTGTTACCCTCCATGTTCTCTGACATCCAAGCAGCACAAATGTCCAATAAAAGCAGACATGTGTTTTTCATACTTCGCTACCAATTTATTATAAAAAGAGACGACTGGGTTTGTGGAGAGCGCGGTGAAGTAAGTCCATTTGTCACTGAGCCGGACTCTGTGTCATTAGTGTTTTATTGCTCCCAGCTTTGCCTCATTTAAACAAAATCACTCTCAGATAAGAAAAATAGATCAGGACTGAGATGAAGAGCAGGTTACTTCTGTTGTAGCCCTCAGAAACATTCTTTTACCTTTACAGGACTGAGGTTTTCCAATCATCTCAAATTTAAACATATCTATCTGAGAACACACAATTGTAAAATATATGCAGCACTTTTCAACCACACTTCTCACAAAACCCACAAAATCACATGAACTTAACCTAAAAAAGACAGCTTCATCCAGAAATATCAGTTATTGGAGATGAAAACAAGTGTTTCCAAACCCAAACCAGTGCTGCTGCTAACATATCTCTACGTTGTTGAGGTCTAGCGGCTGAAAGCAGCCGCTCGCACAAGATGCCTCAGTGTCTCCCGTCATCTGGTTCTGATATGTCTGTCTACATTTCTCCACCAAAAACCTACGCTTCGTCTCCAACACGCCGAGGTTAACCTCTGCTCATGCCGACATTTTCTACATCTTGGAAATTTGGAGACGTGCAAAGATGTGAGTGATGCTCTGGGACGCTAGCAAACAAAGTAAGGTGGTTTAAGGGGGGTGGGGTGGGGCGAGCTACAGAGCAAATATTCCCACAAGTTGACAAAAGTTGACACAGGCACAGATGTATTTGACAAATTCCGCTTTTGTGCGTGTTTGAATGTAAGCCAGATGGTGGTGAACAGTGAGGCTTGGCGAGATGCTGCGCTGTGTGTGCAGCCTATAGGCGAGAAGCTCCAGAGCTGGTACGAGTGGAGGTGCAGGCTTAGTGCAGAAATCCCTCTGTCACTCATCATGATACAGTAATTTAATTATTTCCAGCACCAGATCCAGCCCACGCATGTGTAGCGTCCAGCAATGGTCAGAGCATCTTTAATACAGGGTGTCTCGGCTTCAGCCTGTTTCCTCTTCCTACTGTTTTAAAAGCCCACGCCGCTGGCTCGTGTTAATGTAAAACCAAGCGTTGGAAAGCGACTAACAGAGTCTGAACCTCACAGAATGTTCACGAGGTCCTCAGTCTCTCAGAAAACAATCTGTTTCTTTAAATACTAAAATAATAAAGAGGTTTCTATTTGGATTCCTCATGAAGCACGTCTCTGTTGGCTGACTAAATACAACACCTCAGTGCCATGTGACGGTGGCACCATGGTGTTGTTCACGCTCCTGTGTGAGAGGGTGCAGAGGGCTCACCTGAGTCTGAGTCATCTGGACTGACTGAGCTGAGTAAGTCCTTCTCCCTCTCGTAGTCGATCTTGCAAAGTAGCTGACCCTCCTTCAGGACAAACTCGTCGCCCTTTCTGAGTTGGCGATCGCACACGCAGCAGCAGAAACAGTTCAGGTGGTAAACGCACTCCAGAGCTCGCATCACAAACTCCGTCGGGGCGATCTTCTCCATGCAGCCGCTGCACTTGGTCGCAAATAACCTAAAAAGTGGCAAAAGAGGAGGCGTGTGAATAAAATGTTGCTGTTTGAAGCAGGACAAAGGAGTAAGTTTAAGTTTTTTTTTTCTTTAATGGTCTGTTGCCACAGCCCACTGGAGCTTTAGCCGCCCATCAAGGGGGTTTTGAAGTTGGCTCATTGACCCTTTGGGCAGCCAGAGAGGTGACTCCTTTGGCAACAACTCATCTGTTAAAATTTCAGGGTGGGTCCAGCTCTGCACCAGTCCTGAGTGAGTTTAGTCATGGGCACCCAAAGCCCTCTGCAAATGCCCCCCTCATTGCAAAAAAAAGAGGCCGCATCAGGTTCTGTGATCTCCAAATCTGACAATCCCAATCAAGCATCAAGCCTTTGTTGGGAAATGACTGCATCCTTTCATATCCCTATTGCTCTGTATGCATCAGATACCATATCAGAGACGGTGATTCACGGCTCATATCTCATCTCATGCCTCCACGCTGCAGCACCACCTCTATCCCCATTTCCCTGACAACACCTCCATCTCCTTTTATACATCCTTTCAGGGAAGATGTTTGCATTGTTTTATTGGCGACGGAGAGGCTTTTAATTCATCCTCTGTTGTTCAGAAGAAGCCACATTAAATGGAGCAAGAAGGCAGGGAGTGTGGTTGATCTTGTCCAGCCGTAAAGCTGGATTTATTAGTGGCTTCTGTGTTTGCCCTGGTCTGGAAGACAGCTGGCAACCGCCTATCTATTTGTGGTGAACATCTATTTCATTGTGAGGGAGACAGTGAGAGGAGCAATTGACATCATCGCGACAGGGATGAACGATAGTGATGAATATAATGTGTAAATATGAGAGCTGGGGAACCAAAGGGTGGTTTTGTTATGCTAATGCTGTTATAGGTGCTGATTGAGTCCTGATAATGTGTGTGTTTGTGTGTATTCACACGTGTGTGAGCAGCTGTACGTGTGCTTTTTGTTCTTGACTCAGCAGCTTCCTAAAATAATTGCTGATCAGATCAGAATCAGGAGAGCTACACTTTATGTTATTTAAATTACGGCACAACCGTTAATAAGTGATTTACTGCTTTCTGGATTTAGAGCAGCTGAAGTCAAAATTACAGCCAGAGTCTGTCAGCTGGAGATAAACACAGCATCTCTTTTTCATCACACAGAAGCAGAACAACAGAGATGTCTTAGTTGGCAGTCTCAGAGTTCAAAATATCCTTTAATCTTTTATTTATTACAATAAGTTAAGAAGATTATTGCTGAACTATGAAAAACCTCAAGGATAATCCCTTGAAAGAGAAATGTTGGCATGTTTCTCAAACGTGCCGGGTTTTCATTGGAGTGGCCCGCCAACCTGGATTTATCGTCTAAACAAATTACTGTGTTTAGGTCAATAAAAGGAAAAGAGACAAAATTAAATTATAAAAACGGCAATAAAAGGGAGATAAATTCCTGCATGTAAAAGAAGTGAGATTTCAGGAACTTGTCTCTGAGTTTTGGGAGGATTAATGCGTGATGTGCTGGATCAGGGAAGGAGGTGATGAATCTGTCAAGACAAGTTCCCAGCTCTGACTCTAATGTTTAGCTAATGATCGGCAGCTTAGACTCAGAAAGAGAGCAGAAGGTTGCGGAAATGACTTGTTAGAGTGTTTTTGATACGTCCAGGACTCTGCATTCACCTACGACCTCGCTTTCTCTCTCTCAAATCTTCTCATCTAGATGAAAACGTTCTCATTCAGCCCTCTTTCCTTTCTTCTTTCTCCTTGCCAGGTTTAATCTTGTAAGCCATTATTTTTCTATTTCCCCTCTCTGTCACTTTGCATTATTTTTGCTGCTGTAATTCCTATTCGTCCCTTCTGGAATCTTCCTGTCCTGCTTTGTCCCCGGGTCTAATCCGGACTTTCGGCCTGTTTTCAGTCTCCGTTCCCCATTCTCAGCGGGGTTCAGATGGAATAGCCATGCATGACGCCCCTTCTATGGCAACCACACCTCCACAGGAAGGCAACGCCGACTTTTCGGATGGGCAGAGAGGGCCTTTGAGGAGCTGGCAGCAGAAGTAAATCCTTCTCTAAGGAACAAGGAGAATTAGCAGGGAGCAGTGGACTAGGGGTTTAACCCTACCCCTCTCCTTTGAAAGGCACAGTCAGTCCCACTCCTGCGGCTAGCCACAATCAAACAGAGGAGGAGTGGGGAGGTGGCAGCGGGGAGAAGAGAACACAAACTCCCTGAATGACACAAGCAGTGGATTGTGGAGGAGCCTAATCCCACTTTAATACCTTTCCAAGTTCAGCTGCTAAAGAATGCTCTTTAAAACAACACCACTGTGTGAGCAGTGAAGGTTGACCGGGGGGAAGGCACGCCATTCAACCTCCCCAACATTACCTGATTAGTGGTTTGTGGAGCAGGCTGCTGGGCCGCCACGCCGACGGGAGACAGAGAGGGAGATGTAAACCATGATTTTATAAAAAGAAAAACACATGAACAGGAGCTGGCGATGCCGTTAGAACAGACTGCACCAGAGATTTCAGAGACGCTGACTGAATACGACTCAAAGTGAATCAAGTAATCATTTACAGTCTCTCCTGGTTGACCCCGGCAACACCAAGACTTCATCTAAAATTCGACCGATGCAACACGATGCCCAGTGTTGGATCGGCAAAGCGAGTCTGCATGTGGCGGCACAAAGGGGACCACCAGCGTGACAGCTCTCATCCCAGCTTTTGCTTTTCCTCCTCCCACACCTGAGCGCACAGATCAAGCGATGAGACCCTCCTACGTGGATCAATGGCCACATCTCAAGCAGAGACCTGTCAATATTTACTCAGGCCCCCCCAGAACAGGATTCAGAAATGAATGAAAAAAAGAGCCCATCTCAGCACATGCCTCCATCCCAGTGGAATCATTACGTTCCTCTGTTTTAATCTTATGTGCACATACCTGTAATCCCTTGTCTGCCCTATCCTCCATCATCTATTGTTGTCTCTCCCACTCTGTGGCAGATTATCACACTGCTGAGGCTTGTAATGCTACAGAAAATCCACAAAAAGCAGATGGGAACAACACCAAAAAGCATAATGGAGAAAAAAAACCAACAGAGTGTTTTTACGTTCGCTGAACTGAGCTGCAGAAAGTGCGGTTGAGGGACGTCGGAGCTTCCACTTCCCATTTTTTCCAGGTACTCCAGAGACTTGTGCACTCTCCTTTCAACAGATTAAATGCAACTCAAAGTGTGACAACACCTTAAGCTCCCACCACATGCTGCCAATGATTCCTCCTCTACAGGCCTCATATTAAAACTCCTGCTGCATCAGGAGGACGGGCTGGGACGAGTAACAAGTAGAGCAAGACGGAGGGTTAGAGGTGAGGTAACGAGGCTGCTTGTGACGCTTGATAATCATTTAGCAACATGTGCAACTGCCTCACCCACTCCCCCTTTGTGCTTTTGAACAACACTCTGAGAAATACCATAACAATTTAGGAGAAGAATAGCCAGGGCCATTATGTCACCGCATCCCTTCAAAGACAGAGAGGGTGAGATTATCTAAGCTGCAGCTGGAAGCTGTTACTTTGAAGATGGGCTCTTGTGTGTAGGCAGGAAACCTGCAGCCGTGCCACTCAGGCCTGTCAGGCAGGTTAGAGGCAAAACACACCCCAAAAAAGATTTTTATAGATAAGTTGATAAAAACTTGAGTTGTTAAAGCATCCGCACAGTTTGGATGTTTTGATATAAATCTAATAATTGAACTAGGTTGGACTACAAACAATATAACTGCATATCCATCAGTGAAATATTTGAATATGAAAGTTTTTACCAGAGAGAAATTGTGTCTTTTTGTGCGACTCCTCTTTAACTTTGAAACACCGTGACGTGTTTATCAGACTTAGCTGCTTTGCAAATTAAAATTTTACAGACAAAATAAGGAATTAGTAGAACCTCAGCCAAAACTGTTGATTAGATAACGTTTATATCATCTAAACTGGATTTCAATGCATAAATCAATCAGAAGATAAATAATAATGAAAGGCTTAATTCATCAAAGAAAGAATCTTTAGCTTGAAATAAAAGTGTTCCAGATTTACATAAACGCTGAAATGCAGGTCCTTTTTCTCAGCAGCTGTCAGACAAGTCAGCCTCTGACTGAAAACAACATAGCAGCTAACGTGCAAAATTACAGCTATTTATGTTCTAAACAATCAAATTAGCGCTATTACAGCCAATGTTCTTGTGTCACTGTTCAGAAAATTATTTGCTGTTTGCCTGAGAAACAGAAGCTTAATCTCCTGTGATTTTAATGTTACTCGAAGTATTTTTATTCTTTTGATGTGTGTGAATTATTGCCATTCTGCTGCTCTTATGTAGTACTTTTCTGCTGTTTATCACTAGAAAGACCTTTGCTGTTACAACATGGGAAATTTCCCAGAAGATGAGGAAAAAAGATTTGATTTATTTCATACATCAATCTTAACATTAATAAAACTACATGACTACTTACACCTGTGTATTCAACACCTGTTTAACAATATAAATTCCTGTGTAACATTAAGACTAATAGCTAATAGCATATTAATGTTGCCGGAAAGAGAAAGAAGATGAAGGACGCTGAATTAAATTAAAGTTTAAAAAAAAGTGAAGGCACTATTTCTAGAATAAAATCTTAATTTTGAGAAGAAAAGTCAAAATACATTTCCTAGATACATTTTGGAAATATTTTATCACAAGCACACACTCTGTATTCATGATATCATTTGTTTTTATTATAGTGTATCTCAGAATTCTGGGTGAGATTAAATCATTTGATTTTTTACTGAAAAACGAGGCGTTTTGTAGAAAACAATAAATCTGCTTTTGGCTGCTTCCATAGCAGCATCCTCAGTGTAAATCTCATCTACGTACCTCAAAACATCTACTGTGGATGATTAAAATGGGTTTCTAATAATATTGTTCTGCGGTGAAAATCAATATCCATCCATCCATTGTCTCAACCCGCTTTGTCCACGTACGGTCGGGCTGGTGC